CTGGAAAAGTTGCGACGTCGCGTATTGTTGAAGAATGTCGTCAAGTAACTCCACAAATGCTTCAAAATATAAGGTTCGAACAAAACTTGTATTATTGTATTGAAACTGGAGGTAGACAGTTTGAATATTTTAATTGACTGATAATGTTTACCCAACCTTTGACAGTTGTACTATCTGAACTTTTTTATTTGAATAAATAAAGACCACTTTTGCAACTTGAAAAATAATCGATGGAGTTTGAAAATTTTTTTGTGTGATATTCAGGCGAGGAAGACCTGTCAAATAAGGATTCACTTGTGCTATGATCCCATTTAAAATTTTAGCAGTTGTGCTCACAGCGCGAAGGGATAAAGCGATTTGCATGTAAGTTTTATTGCACAAGATATCTCCTTCGAAAATTAAGTTGACGTATCTGAGTGTTTTTTTTGTTTTTTTAAAAAATCAATTTGAACTACCCGAAAATCCGCTTCTTTTGCTCTTTCTCTCTTGTATATGAATATCTCATACATTAATAGGCTATTGGACTCTTACTTTTAAATTGTCCTAAAATGTTCATATCGTAGTATTAGTCCAAAGGAATTTTTATTTCAAATGTTTTATGTGGTAAATTGTTGGGGCGTGGTCAACTAAAGAAGAAAACCAGTTTGAAAAATATGTCGATGTTTCGTCTTTATTTAAAGACATCCTCAGGACTGCAGATACAAAGCAGTATAGGTAGTTCTATATTGTTATGTTTGTAATTTTGAGGTTATGTTGAAGATTGTTTAATAATGTTCTAATGCCAGTTATCTACATTTTACAAATTTTAATAAATATAAGTACCTAGTTAATTTTTTAAATTAGAAGTAAACAAATACTATATACACAGATGTTTTAATAATATTCCTAAAATCTGCAGAACAGAAACTGGGATTAGTCACAACGAATTTAGGTACCATTATTGTGTCAATTCTTGGCAAATTCGTACTGTCGGTTTTTAAAAAACCGCCTCCCATGATTAATTATTATAAACATGAAAAAACAACAGGAAATCAGTCTACATATTCACAAAGTAGTCACGATAAGGGTACATTTACAACCAATTCGGTACGGGCACATTCTGCTGGTGGATTGTAAATTGGGTTTTAAGCATATCTGGTTGGATGTGTTTGATGACAATAAAATTTTAAGTCGGCACGACCTTGAATTGCACTTCAGGTTTGAACTGGATGCTTGCAAATCGCAAATACTCAATTCAATTGCAGCACGAGTTTCAAACTGCGCATGCGTACTACGACACAAATTTATTGTTTATAATTAAATTCAGTTTGTGATTTGAAATTGGAAGATTACATCTTTTAGTATTAGAAAATATGATGTTTTTAGAAGTTATGTTAAATAATTGTAATTATTTATTCAAACTGAATTTGCACACACGTAATATTAAAAAATCTCGACAGATGGCAGCTTCTAACTCATTATAAATGATCTAAATTTTATCTCTGCACAATTCACAATCCGTTAGTAAATTGTGCCTGTAGCGAATTGGTTGTAAATGTACCTTATGATAACTGCAGGAATTGCTTACTACAAGTAACCTCACATTGCGGGTAGCGTTTTGTGACGTTTACAGACCAAAAAAATTGTAATTATAAATTGAAATAATTAATCAACTTCGTGCTTTTGTGAATACAAACCGATAATTTCTGATTTCTTATTCGATAACATATTCACATAATTTAATAATTTATTTTTAATAGGGTCAAACACTCTATTGATATGTGCTGTTAAACATGTTACAGCGTAGATTTTTATAATCAGCAAGTCAATATCACGCAATTATTGTGCGGAAGACGCCTCTACTCCATAGCAACAGATGTTCGGAGTATTAATTAATATTAGGTTTAATAGTTTATTATCTCCATCAATTCATCAATAATCATCATTATGAACATTTTAAATGGTCGTTCAATTGTCAAATATGCAATATTTACTAAAACATTCAAAATTTTCAAACCAAATTACAAAATGTTTTTATATAATTGCTAACAAAGTTAGCCTCTTCATAATTTGTTTGTTTTGTTTACATTATTTATTTTACTTTAAATTCACAATTAAGACATTTGAATTGAATCCATACCAACACCATATAAGGATTTTCTAAAAAAGGTAGTTGCATTAATGACCGACTTCAGCTGCAAAATTTATATCTATAAATAAAATCATAATTTACGTCTATAGAGTCTCGACATTTATAAACCAAATGAACCCACTTATGGGAATTCCGTCAGCCCCCTTTCTGAGAGTCTCATCACTGCACGTCTAGTATCAATTTAGGAAATATGGGTCGCTATTATTTGCAGGCTTTATAGCACAAGTTAATGATTAAACTGTGAGGTCAGGACATGTCTAGTTATGAGATACTGTTCACGATTCTGATTTGTTGAAGTTCAAATTAAACCCTACATCTAATTCAGTTACAACGCATTTAATGCTGAACCCAACGCGGGTTGATATTTCACGTCAGATTATTAATTTATAAATCGCGTTTTGTTACAGGATAAATTTAATAGAAAAACACTATTGAAAATGAAAGGTTGAGATTATCTTTAGTTTTTTAAAACTATGAAACTTTGAAAACTGAAACAGAAATATTTTTAAATTATTTGCGTTAAAATGATTAATCTGTTGATTTTGGTATGTGCAAACGCATTTCGTATTCGGAAAATTATAAAATAGGAATTGATTATTTTGGAAAAAAATATGAATAAATCAATGGTTGTGGATCTAAAAGTAGTGAATTAAATGAATTTGAGTTAAAATTTTTTTAATATTTTCAAAATTTAAAAAGTGTGCGCAATTTTAAATGTATGAAGTTATTTAAAACGTTTTTCAAAACTAGTTTAATTTATGAACATCAGTATCTAAAAACTAAACACATTTATTGAAAGGAAAAATAAGGTAAGGTGTACCTAATATATTCTTAACAACTGGAGGTTGGGACCAAACACAATACCCTCTAGAAGTTGAACCTGGCATGACTTGCTTCAGTCCACTTTGGTCTGGTCAAATTTAACTATTTATTACCTGAAACGGTGCAATTTTCGAATATATACGAGTATGGTCATACACGGTTGGTCGGACAAGAAAATTATTTGATCGAAAATAGAAGTATTGACTTTCGAAACCTATTCGATTCTAATTTTATTTTGTGATGTAAATAATGGCATAGTAACCATAGCTGTCTAAAAGCGAAAATAGCACCCTAGGCTGAGTGGTCTTTTTTATCTTCTAAATATTACATGTATTGTAGATCGTTTCAGAAGCTATTTGGACTATCTGCATGTATACATCTATCACTATGCATAATAGTAGAAACTGGTTAAATAACTACATATAACTTCACTATTTATAAATACTGAAAAATATTGGTTTTATAATGAAACTATTAATATTGAGCCCGTTTGGTTCTGTCAGTATCTCGACACATAGTAATCAGTATAGAGAAAACTTATGACTAAAGCTGCAAATCGTTTCTGTGTATCATGGTCGAAGAGTACAGATGTACTTACTGTCGCAGGCATTCACCTTGACCGCGAAACTCTTTCTCTAGTCCAGTCTATTATTAGCTTTCGAGTTGTGTACACGTTAAGGCACTTGGGCGTATTGCATATTGTTTTTGTGTTTTTATTTTATTTGTTGTACTGTATTGTTGATATTAATTTAATAATAAAGTATGGCAGACATACGCAGGGGTAGAAAACAGCCATTTGCCGACAAAGTGAAAAAATTCATAGGTGAATTCCCGAATTTATTCTATGATGGTGCTAAAATAATTTGGAAAGTGTGCGAGAAAGATTTGATGTGCTGGGATAAGCGTGATTGTGGACTTCACGTAAATAGTGTACACCTACAAATAAAAAAATGGCGTGCCTTCGACAACACAGTTTATGTTTGATTTACTATTAATGCTGATTGCCTGTGATGTTCCGCTGCACATACTCGATAAACAACCATCTCGAGAGTTCTGGAATAAATACAATGCCCAGGTGAAGTTACCAAGTCGCACAACGTTATGTACTATCTACCAACTGTACACGTAGACATGGTAAATAAGATGAAATGTGAATTAAAAAATACATGGCTGTGGATATCTGTTGATGAGACAACAGATTGTAAAAAAAATTCTATTTTAAATGTTACAGTTCGAGTACTGGACTCTCTTAAACCGACAGTTCCACTGTTACTAGCTAGCAAAAGACTAAGTCAGTGTACTAGCGAAACAATTACCGGGGTGGTGCTGGAGACGTTAGAAAAATTTTAACTGTCAAAAAGTCAACTGTTGATGTTTGTGACTGATGGCGCCGGGACAATGCGTTCGGTAGGCCGTTCTTTGCAAGAACAAGGTTGTACGTTTATACATGTTACGTGTAAAGTGCATGCTGTACATCTTGTGGAAGAAACTATTCGAAAATGTTTTCCAGAGGTGGATGCATTAATAGCAAGTACAAAAAAAGTGTTTCTTAAATCCCCTAAACGTCTCCGTGCATTTCATAGCAAGTGTCCCGGTATTCCTGAACCACTATAGCCGATTGTTACACGTTGGAAACATGGTTGCAGGCAGCTTTTTATTATGCTGAATATTTCCAACAAATAAAAGCTGTGATACTACAATTCAATCCAGATGAGGCTGCAGCTATTAAGGAAAGCCAGACACTTATGTATGACATCGCACTGGGGAGAAATATACAGATTTTTCTTCACAAAAGTTACATGAAGATACTTATAGGTGTGTCGTAAGATGCGGCCAGTCAGTTTCATATAACTTAAATGTTTGTTTTTACAATTTTTCTTAACCATCTCAAGTCACCGAAGTAACTCCCAGAGAATCCTAAAATTTTGTGCTGAGCAAAGAGGGACAAGGCCCTACAGTTTATTGTGGATTCCGAACCACATCTAGGCCTTCGACAGTTCCCTCTCCCACCTTAATCCGAAGCAAATTACAAATAAAATTTCTAACTTGCTCCGGGATGGATTCGAACCATCGATATTGGGTACCGAGTAAATAGCTATAAACCACAAATATGCGCTTTAACCACTCGGCTACCTTGCCTGAAACAAACTGATTCTGAACATTTTATGTAATACTGCTATATTTTCAAAATTGACCATAGTTTATTAGTAATCCAAATAATAATAACAATAATAATATTGTCTACTCTGGATAGTGAAATAGAAAATGGATAAGCTGAGTAAATTAGACAGATAAGAGGATGATTATTCACCGCAGCTTCCTAGACCGTCCGTTCCTAGTATGTACCTCCAACGCCAATGGGGAGACCAAAACATAAAGTGTCTATATGGTAGAGTAGTACGGAATATAGCATGTAATATTCTCTGGAGATCGTATTTGTAGAATATCATGAAATAAGTGGGAGCAGAATTGTTCAACGCAGCAAAAAGAACCACAAATAAATTCGGTGTCATGTATGACACCAGGCGAGGAAGCCTGTTACTGTTGTAGAAGCAGTCACTGAGCTGCAGATAAATCTCCTGAAAGCCGAATCAGAGCAGTCGAACAGGGATATTGGTTCCCACAGTCCGTCGATAAACCCCAGCACGTTGTTTTCTATGGAAACAGAAACACTGGGTTTATTGACAAGGCTAACATTCGCCTATTTATGGTCAACCGGATGTGGAGTATATATATATATATATTCCTGATATTAACTGCAGGACTTGCGCTTTGGCGTCAGAATCGCTAATGCATTTATCTTCTACATGCCCCATATATGCGATATCGATCTACATTCACCGACATAAGGCACTCGTATGAGGTAGACCAAACACTATTGATGCCTTCAATTTCCAAAGGTATTGAGTCAGTTGTCGTGAAATAAAAAATTGCCGTATTTACTGGAACTACTCATTTCGACTGTCATGTGAATTCAAGCAAATAAGTCTGACATGGTCGTCATTGACCATAAACCAAGATGATGTATGTCATAGAATTCTTGACACCTTCACAAGAAAACATTACCTTGAAGGATAGGAAAGCGGATAAAAAATTGCAGAATTCGGTAGCTATTAATTAGTGCTGTACCAAGATTACTCGGTCGAGAGAGTCACCCACATAGTCTGTGTGCTTGGAGGGATAAAACCTATGCTGCTCTTGGAACTGAAGACCCTACAGGTCTGCCAAAAATCAGCCGAATGGTTGGCGCAGGAAGTGGTCGTTCTAAGTTCCCTTCTTCTACATATGACATGTGATTCTGAAATTTACTGCCACTAACCCGGTGGGATGTGTGGATTGGATGTAATTAATTTGCTGGCGAAGTTAGAAGGCCAGGGGAGCTCTATCCAGTATTAAGTTAAAAAATAATAATAATATTGTTACGGCTATAGACTAATAATCCTAAAATATGCCCAGTACTAAATTTTAAATTAAATAACCATGGTATTTTTGGGATTAAAAAAGAAAGGTCCAGAATTGTACGGGAATATTCAAGAAAATTCTAGTCCGTACATAGATATATAAGGCATACAATGAGTCAAGAAGCTCAGCACTGATTTGGGATTTTGCGGGTAAAGAAGAATTAAGATTAAAGGAGCGACTTTTAAGTGTTTAATTGTGATTATACAAGTTACTCAGTTATTGTTGATTATTATTAATTGGTTAATACAGTAGTGAATATGTGTTACCAGGAGTATCAATCAGCGAATCCACGATTTGAGATGTTTGTGGAGACAGAAAATATGTAACAATATTGTCTTTATTGTTATGGTACTACATAGTTTATTTATTTATTTCTTACATATTTATCCATACGAAATGAACGCAGCATTTTCGACTTTTTGGCTTAACCAGGACCGGTTGTATAAGTTATTAGATAAATTTTCGATAATCAAAAATCTTTGTAGAGAGTAAAATATTTATGTAATCCAATAAAAAAAAGTTTAATATTGATCAGTCCATTCAGGGACACACTGTAAATATGTAATGAGAGATCTTTATTTTCTTCAACCAATTTGTGTTTAAAATAAATAAATTCAGTATTACGAAAACATTATTTTATTTTGATCGCGCTGATAATGTAATTTATTTATATTTGACCAAGGTAGATGGCACAGTAGTTTTATAAAATCATTAATTATTTTTGTTTATTTTACAATATTTTTATTTTAACAAGAGCGTACATTATTTAAAATAAATTTTATTTCATTGGTCTTTTTTAGTCTAATTATTATTTGTAGCTCTTTTAATTGATCTTCATCAATTCCCTAATTTATTTTTATATGATATAATTAGAAGAAAAAATAAACCTGTTTTATTATTATTAAAGTATAATAACTGTTCACGGTAGAAATTATTAGCGATAATCTGGTTAATATTTTTATTTAAATAATATATTTTTCCTCGCAGTAATGTATTTTATAGGAATAACAAAAATAATTAATTAATTAAACTCTCGGGATGAGAGAAATTATTAGATACAAAAATATTTTAAAATGTTATTAATCATTACTAATTTCAAAAAATTTAGGGCTTCGTGTGAAACAAATTTTATTGCATTTTATTTTTATTTATTTATTTATTTTATATTAAACAATTATTAGTATTTTCAAGGAAAAAACGGTTTAGCGGTATGTCTGCATGTAGTAATATTTATTTATCTAATCTGATTGTGAACCCTGGACTTTTTAAAACTGTTGTTTTATTTTCTATATCAATATTAATGGTTACGACCATAATGTTGCTATAATCCATTCATCTCATATAAGCACATAAAAAATTCTAGCATAGGCGCACGGTATTATATAAATACATTTTGTGTATTCATAATGCACCGCACGCCTATGTTAGAGAACTATGCATGACTGAAGGTCGACAAAGTGTCGCTCTTCAAGCCCAGATAAACAATTTTTTATGTGCTTATATGAATGATTGGAGTATATTATAAAGAACCAATTACTGAAAAAGTTTTGACGTTTCTATGACAATTGTTTTGAAGTTTAAGGTTAAAATCTAAATAGTAAATTTTTTGAAGTCAACGAATAATGATACTTAAGTAGTTTTTTCATATCATCTCCACATACCACATATCTATAAACATTAAATTGGTTAGTTTAAAACATTTAGGAGTTTTTTCTTCTAATAATGAAAATTATTACAGAAACAGAACTTACACCGGTTGTCCCAAAAGTAAACTGCTATAGGACAATCACGGATAGGGAAATCCAATTTGAGCAAAAATGTCTAACGATCTAGTTTTCGGAAATGCTTCCTAAAAGCGCTATAGCTCTTCTAAGATGGCCTCCAGGAACGACTATCCAGAATAATAATAATTAAGAACCCATTTTCACAAGTCAACCGTAACATGTTATTTCGATCTTAAATGATAGTATAACACCTATTACGAGACTAAAATGGCCCCGAAGGTCTTACAGATACTTATTGTTGTGTGATATAAATAGAAAACCAAGAAAATTAAATATAAATAAAATTTATTAACAAAGTATCAATTTAGCAAAAACAACATCCGATAGTTTTTTTGGGGACTTCGGTCAGATATAACAAATTTTATAGTTTTTTTCTAAAGTTTCAGTTTATTACACTATCATCAGAGAACTAACTACAATTAATATAATATTTTAAAAACATAGTTATGGTTATTTTACATTACATTATTTACTTACACTATTAATAATTAGGTTTTTGCTTTAAATTTTGTTACATGTTTGGTGTTATTGGATTGTCTGTTTTAACGCAACTGAGATATTTTAATATGGTGTGTTGGCTTCTAAAGTTTTGTTTATGTTACAGAGATAACGTTGGAAATGTATACATATAATACGTTTGCAATTTTTTCGTATTTAAACGTATTTAACGTATTTAAACAACATAATATAAAAATAGCCTATAAACCATACAATATCACAAATAAATTTTTCACTAAACTTAAACCTAGACTACCAACCGAAGACACTAACACTATATACAAGATATACTATAACGACTGTAATGGTACTTATATAGGCCAATCAAAACAATATCTACATAAAAGGGTATACACGCACAAATATAGCATAAAAACTCAAAACCAAAATACGACAGCACTCGCCAAACACGCCATAGAACAAAACCACAGATTTAATTTTAACGTATATAAATATACACGTTTGTATCAATTAATTTAATTATATAAAGGTTCTTTAAAAACTACAATTTTTTTATATAACTGCTGGCTCTGAAAAATGGCAAATATTTTCAGTACTTGATTATTAATTATACCGGTCCATAAATTTACAGAAAGCCTGTGTAGAAAATCATTCGATTTACGTTGGGATTTTCGTAGACTCCAAAGTGATAGGGATGGAGTCACTGTTGCTTTAATATGCGCCATACTCAATTTTTATGAATTGCCGTATGTCGCGATATTTCGCGAACACTAATCTGAGGTTTACTTTCGACTTCAACAAATACCTTCTCTACATCCTCAACGTTTGAATGTAT